GGTCCCCTGGGTAGCTGCCCTGCCCTCCACCAGCGGGAGTCTGAGCGGCTTCCTGAGCTGGTGCCCGCTTCCTTTCTGAGGAGCCCTGCACTGGCCTCCGTATCCTCCTTGGCGGGAGTCCCGAGGCCGCCACCCCCCAGGCCAGCAGGGAGGCGGCTACTTGTTTGCTCCCTTTCCGCTCCCCTCCCAGAAGAAGCAAGGGCCCAGAAGACAGGGTCTGTGTAGTTCACACTCTTGTTTACTGAAGTGGAAACAAAGGCACAGGCAGGAAGGCGCACATTGGGATCAAAGCAGTCCTGGCCCCTCCTCCCCCACCTCCAGCCGGGTCACCCTTCCCCAAACTCCTGCTGGAAACCCACCTTCTTTCTCTACCTCAGGACGGTCTCACCCGTTATGCCGTACTTTCTCAGCAAGCGTGAACAAAACGTATAGGTGATTTAAATGTTTACTTCTTTTTGTGGCTGACAGACAAGCAAACCATCGTCTTCTCAAGAGCCGGGGTCACATTTCATGCTGCTCTCCTGCTTTTGAGGCAGCTCCCCGACGTTTCCTTCTGTCCCTGTCCCTTCACACATATGATTTGAGATTTCCTATGTACATGCCTTTCCCCGCCAGGGATTTCCTATTGGAATGGGGAGTGAAAATAATTGTTAAGTAAGCAGAGACAACCTATAATTGGGGGCTAAATCCAGCGATCTCTGAATCCAGTGCTGCGGCCGTCAGGGCGACAATGTTCGTGGGGAAGCTGTGGGGTCCGCACGGCCACCGAGAGGGTGGACGCTCTTCCTACCTCCCCTGTGGCAGGAGAAGCATCGCTTTGGGCAGGAAATAGGGACATCCCGCAGGTTTGAAAAGATAACCGACTTGACAAAATGATGCCGAATTTCAGACCAATCTGGCCGGGACCTGCCACGTGGGCTGGTTAGGGTGAGGGAGCGTCAGCGTCAGGAGGGTGCCAGGCAGGGCCCAGCGTCTCGGGGAGCTGGTCGTGGTCTGAATCCTGGAGATGGCGGGCTGGAAGGAACAGCGTGGAGACTGGTCTGGAGCAGAGATGGCGGGCTAGAGGAGCAGGAGGGACTAGGCCACCAGGCGCTGACGCTGCCCGGACGGAGGCTGGAGTGTGGCCGGGATGGGGCGTCCGCCTGGCTCCCTCCCTTTCTCCCGGCACCTCGCAGAAATGACGTGGCAGCTGTAAGTCGGATTCTGGGCCGTCTTTCCACCTCTTGGGAATATCCTGGGGTTTCTCAGAAACATTCTCATGACTCCCCTTCTATCCTCAGGGCATTTTCTTCTAAATTCTGGGCCTATGGGTCTGCGCTTGGCTGAAGCCACTGGTGGAGGTTGGAGGAGGAACGGCCCGAGCGGGAGGAAGGCCAGTTTGTGTCCCCGTGCTCCCGGAATGTGGGCAGCAGGCTGCCTCCTTTCCACAGGGGTGCCGGGCCCGCGGGGCCTGTGCTTCTGAGGAAGGCACACCTGTGTGCTGGGTCCCCACACCCCGTGGCAGTCGGTGGCAGCAGTGGGGTTTCCCAAGTGGTCACGGTGAGCCTGCCCACTGTCATCACCTCTTCTGTCCGGCTCCTTGTCCAGTGTGGGCCCTGGCGTCCGGTGTGCAAAGGTGAAGGGGCAGGCGTGTGGCGGGCCAGGTCTGATGTCCCGGGGTCCCCGGGGCCGTGGCTCCCTCCTGGTGAGAAAACCAGCATCTGTCTTTAAAGACATTTACTTGTTGGGGCGCCTGGGTGGAACAGTCGGTTAAGCGTCCGACTTCAGCCAGGTCACGATCTCGCGGTCCGTGAGTTCGAGCCCCGCATCGGGCTCTGGGCTGATGGCTCAGAGCCTGGAGCCTGTTTCCGATTCTGTGTCTCCCTCTCTCTCTGCCCCTCCCTCGTTCATGCTCTGTCTCTCTCTGTCCCAAAAATAAATAAACGTTGAAAAAAAAAATTTATAAAGACATTTACTTGTTCACCTAGTGTGTCCAAAAGTCATGCATTTCATTAGACTTTAATGGCATATAAACTATAGATAAGCAAATGGCAAATATAGAAAGCACTCAGAAATCCACTACCCAGCATAATTATTACCATTTTGTTTTGTTTCCTATGCTTGTATATACAGGTTTTCTCCTTCCAAAGTGGACGTCTATGGTAGAAACCTGTAACCTATTTTCTCACTTTAAAGTCTCTTTCAATGGCATTTCTAGGCTATTAAACGTTCTTCCAAAACCTATTTTTTAATGGCCACGTTCGTATAATAGTCCATTGCATGGGTAGCGTTTAATTTATTTAACCAGCTCCTCATTGCTGTGCCTTTGGGTTATTTTCCTAACTCTTCATAGGTCCCTGTGTCCCCACACTGACGGCCTCTGCCTTCAAGGAGGTTGCGTAGTGAGGGGGCTTGTGTCTCCCTGGAGAGCGGAGGACCCGGGGGTCGTCGCCTGTAACACACGTTAGAAGCACGTGCGTGTTATAAGCAGGTGCAGCCTGGCCCTCCACACCCCTGCAGGAAAGGGGCTTGGGGAGCCGCACGACTGAGAATGTCGGTGTGCGTCTCTCTAGCTCTCGGCCAGATCCCTTGTGTATGACCCGGGGGTTCCCTCTTTCCGCCAACATCCCTGACCCGCAGCAGCGTCTCTGGCCGGCTTGCAGGTAGGACGAAATCTGACTTCCCACCGTCCTTGACTTGGTGGCTGTCTGACCATGCAGCGTGGGCAGAAGAGCAAGAACTGTATTTACCCCCCACCGGCCACTGCTTGTGACCTGTCGCTCACTTGTGGGGATGTCCCGATGTCCTCCCCTTGGACAGGACCGTCGGCCTACTTCCCTGCCGAGGACCGACGTGTCAGAGCCCTGGCTGGCTGCTCTCCTGGGGTCGGAAAGGCTGCCTGGTGCTCCCGGTTAGTCGTGGGTGCACCGTGGAGACTGGCCACAGCCCTGTCACCCCGCGGGGTCACATGCTGGAGGAAATGCGTCAGCTCCCCGGCCCGCCCTCCTCCCCGTGCCCTTTCCTCGCTGGCCACCCCCCTCTGGGCCCTGGTCCTTTCCTGGGAGCCCCTCCCTCGCCCCAGTGGCTCTGTTAAACATGCTGGTCAGGCCTGGTCCACCTTCTGTGGCCAGGAAGGTGCAGGCCTCTGCTGGGAGCCAATTCCAGAGTGGTGAATGGCCGCTGTGCGTCAGCCTTGGCTGCTTCCTGGGGAGGGACAGGCTCGCACCAGCACGGGGGGGGGGGGGGGAAGCAGGAACCTCGCTCGGAGGATGGCACACGCCTGTCTGTCCTTCAGGAACCTCGGTGGAGAACTGCACACTCAGGCCCACACCTGCTGCGCTTCGTCGTGTGAAGTGAGCTCCTCTGTTCCGGGCCCCCCGGTGCCGCACGTCAGGGCCACCGAGACTCAGGCCTGCCCTCAGGGAGCTCCCTCTCTACCGGGGCAGGACTCACGTGGGGCAGAATTTCCCAGAACCTCTTTTGCTTGTGGGAAACCGAGGCCCAGAGGGTCTGGCGACTTGCTGGTCCCCTCAGGTCCGCTGGCCCTCGGGCTGAGCTGCCTGCGTTGAGGACACGTGGGGACAGGAGCTCGTCAGCCAGGCAGGGGTTAAGCGCCGCGGCTGGGAAGAGGCGCCTTCCTCCCGGGCCAGCAAGCTCAGTGTTTTCTGTTCTAAATATGGACAAGGGAGACGGTTATTTTTAGGAAGCAAATGGTAATGATTAGGGCTTTAAGATTCAAGTAGTGATTTAGTCATAAAAGCTGAATTCACATGCTACAGAAAAATAGTCTTTTCCTCTCGTTGATGATAGGGTTCCTTCAAGTGCAGTAATTGTTTGTCTCCTTATGAATGCACAACAGACAAGGGCATGCGATCAGTCTCCGCCCCGGGCTCGTTCTGGAGGACCAGGAAGAGGCTGCGGCCATTCAGCGCTGCGGGCGGGAGGGGGCGGCAGGCATCCCGCCCCCCAGGCACCCCTCCGCGCCCCGATGTCCGCTGCAGGTGCTGGCCGCGTCTGTCCCGACCTCAGCACGCGGAGCCGGTACCTTTTGGTTTGGGCTCTAACAGGAAGCCTGCCCAGGCCTCCCTGTGTGGGCTCGCTGCTGCCCCGAGCTGAGTGCTCTGTGCTGAGTCGACCGGCAAAGGCTGTGTGCTCACGGGGCCTCGGTGACTGTCCGTAACTCGAAGCTTAGGCCTCCTACCTAGGCCCCAAAGAGCATCCGCCCCCCCCAGAGTGCTGGTCAGGACCAGGGGTTTGGCGAGGGGGAGAGAAGGGAAACCCGGTTCTCTCTGAGGAGCAGGGCCCTGACGGCTGGGTGCTCGGCCCCCTGGGGCGGCTCTCGGGTGGTTGGGGGAGGGGCCAGGCTCGGAGGGTCCTCGCTGCCTGTGGGGCAGGAAGGCAGGGCATGGGGTCCACCTGGGCTGTAATTCACCTTGGGCACCCCCCCCCCAACCTTGGTTACTCTGGATGGAGTTCAATTCACTCTCACCTGTTGCCCAAACGGGTCCTACGTGCGTGATGTGTCTTCTTATCACAAGCAAGCCGAGAGTCTTATAGATGATGTGCTGAGAAGCGCAAATAACTCAGGAGAGATTTATACCATTCCTGTCGTTTTTCCTGTAAGACGTGGGCATTAGCAGGTCAGGCCTGTGGCGGTCAGCGCTGGGCGTTACCGACAAGAGAACTAGTGCCCAGGGCGGGCCCTGAAGAGGGAGCGGGGAGGCGGCCTCTTTCAAACAGATGTGCAGGAAGCTGGGCCTCATGTCCATGTTGGGGGGGGGGCGGGGGGGGGCCGGTCCCAAGACAGGGTTGCCCTGGAGCAGGCCTGGAGATGGTAGCTCTGGGGCAAGGCTGGGCCTTTTTTTCTTTTTTTTTTTTTTAACTTTTTAAAATTTTTATTTATTTTTGAGAGATAGCGTGTAAGCAGGGGAGGAGCAGAGAGAGAGGGAGACACAGAATCGGAAGCAGGCTCCAGGCTCCGAGCTGTCAGCACAGAGCCCGAGGCGGGGCTCGAACTCACGGACCATGAGATCATGACCTGAGCCGAAGTCGGACACTGGACCGACTGAGCCACCCAGGCGCCCCAAGTCTAGGCCTTTTGAGAAACAACTCTTGGCCTTCAGGTGGGCCCCCTCCCTGCCCTCTGGTGACCTGGGGTCACTGAGGACAGTGGTGGACAGATCTGTGCACACCTGAGTGTGAGGCCAGCCTGGCTCTCTGAGGACCTCATTCTGGAAGGAGCAGTTTTCCCAGAAGAGGAGGCCCCACAGGCAAGGGGAGGCAGGGGTGCGGTCAGGGAAACACCTGAGGACACAGCAAAGCAACCCAGGGAGTGAGAGCCCACCAGCCAGTCAGGGCCTCTGCCCCAGGACCGCCGAGAGTCCCCTCCTCCACGCCCACGGGGCCCCAGCTAAGCTGGGTGCCCGGGTCTGTGCCCGGCCGGGTGGGCGCTCCTGGGGTTCCTGCTGCCCAGCACACCCTCCCTGCATCGCCCACGGCACAGTTTGGGGGCCATCGCGTCCTGCTCAGTGCCAGTGACCCTTGTGTCCTATGAGATTATTTTATAACTCACTAGATTGCTCCATAACCCGACTAGCTTACCTCACAAGAAGCTAGATTAGGGACAGTGGCTCCGGCCTCACTCAGGGCACAGAGGTGCTCAGCGAACGCCCTGGGTTTCGTGGCTCCGGCCCCGCTGTGTTCTCCGGCAGGCTGTCTGACCGCTCGGGGCTTCTACAGTTTCCGCCGCTGAGTTGCTCTGTTTCTGAAAGGGCGCGGCGGACGGCGTCTGTGGGGCTGCAGTGGCTAACGGTACTAACGGTTTTGTGTTTTGTCTCTTTGGTGACCCAGGCCTGCAGCGGCCCTCCGGGGCGCCCGTGGCCTCACACGGCCTCGTGCGGCACATCCGGGCTCGTTTCCTCCGGCGGTTTATGCCGTGGGGGCCGGAGCTCGCCTGTCTCCCAGGGCCTCCCCCGGGACAGCGGCCCCCGTTGCACGGTGACACCCTCTGTGTCTCACTCCCCCCGACGCCAGCCCGGCTCCTCGTTGGGAAGGAAGAGCGTGGAACAGAGGCGGCTTCGCTGTCCGGTCTGGCGCGTGTGAAGGTCAAAGGTCTAGTTGAACACCAACCCTCACCATGCGGGGCAGACTCGATCACCGGTCTGCACGAGGGACAGACCTCGCCGCTGGCTCTCGGGTCCGCGGACGGCTGCTGCTTCGTGGCGGTGGTGGTTACTGCGCATTCAGTCCACAGACAGCGGGCGTGTGGCCACGCTTCCTCCTTGTATCCCACGTGACCCCGAGGGGACACTGGCCGGCAAGGATGGACGTGCAGCAAAGGAGACAGACTGGAAGTTCTGGGAGGCACAGCCGGCCACGGGCGGGGAGACTCTGGCCGGCTGGGAAGGATGGGAGAAGGTCACTGACAAGAACAGTCCGAAGCTGTCCCCGAAGAAGGGGCTCTGCGGACAGGGCCAAGGGTCCAGCCTCGGGAAAAGGCCACCGTCCCCAGGCCGCGCAGAGCTCGCGTGGGGGTGGCAGGCGGGTGGGAACCCCACAGGGGCCTCTGGGCCGTGCCGACTTCGGGCCCGAGTCAACCTCAGTGTGAATCTCCACTCTGCCACCGGCCAGCTGTGTGACCCCGAGGACCGTCCTCGGGCTTCTTAGACCTCATCCCAAACGAGGCAACTAACACGTGCATTTATAACACCCCCTGACGTGTGTTGGTTGGTGACTGAACGGTGATGCGTGTGAGGCAACCAGCACCTAGTGTGTGTTCAAGACGTGTCACGTCTCCTCGCCCCTCAGTGCTGCAGTCCTGAGGAACACCCGGGCCCCCAAACTGGACAGCTCTCTGCTGCGTTTAGCCCATAAATCGTGTCCCCGGTACTGTGTCTCTTCAACGACCTTCTGTTCACCTGCTGAGCTGGGGGAATGCCCTCAGAGCTGTCGTCTCAGGGAGTCCCGTCGGGTTTCTGGGAACCTGGCTGCAGCAGGGCACGATTCTAGATGGTGGGAGGCCAGGGCCTGGGTGGGGAGCGGGGGGGGGGGGGGGGCCCGGTCAGGCGGGTTAGGGTTCTCCGGTCCCAGTCCGCCCCTGGGAGTGGACGGTGTGTCCCAGCCCAGAGCTGGGAAGGACGGTGTCGAGGGCAAGCCTGGCACGGGTCACCTGCCATCGTGTCGTTCTGTCTGAGCACTTTCTCCTTGTTTGTAAAAATGTACTCAGGGAAGTTGATATGTTAAATAAACTATATGGATGCTATACTAGAGGCACTCAGTAAATATTATTTGATCTGAAAAGAGTTGATTTTTCATGAAGATTAAGAGATCAGGTGTTGGTTGAAAATACCAGTCCTGTCCATTCCCAACTTCAGATGTCCTCAGTCACCGTCTGTATTGCACAAGTTGTACCACGGACTTAAACCCGTTGGGACAGGCCCTTCCTGGGCCCAGGTCACCGTGGGGCCTTGAGGAGGCTAGAAGCTACTAGAAAAGTCATCCCTGAGCAGAGGCCTCTCCCTCTGAAACAGAATTGCAAAAGCACAGAAAGGGGAGAGGATTCTGTGTTAGCAACAAGGTCTTCTGGAGACATTGGCAGGCTTTCTGTTATTTGGGTGTGTGGGGTGCAGGCGATAATGTGGGGTGCAGGTGGCATGTGGGGTGCAGGTGGTAATGAGGGGTGCGTGTGGTTAGGTGGGGTGCATTTGTGGCCACTGAGAAGGAGAGCGGGAGGCCTTAGGCTGCATTTGTAGTTCATCAGGCTGGGACTGGGAAATCTTGGGGCTCAGGTGTGAGAGGGACAGCCAGGGCTGCAGCAGGGAGGGGGAACCCCTATTTCTGAACCGAAGGCAAATCGGGGAGGCGCACTCTGGAGCCAGCGGCACCTGCCTGGGCAGCAGGGGAGGAGTCAGAAGCTGTGCCACGTTCCGAGGCAAGTTCTCGACGTCCCTGGGAAGCTGGCTGGCTCCACGAGTGGTCCCAGGGGAATAGCGCATGGAGACAGGGGGTCCTGCCTGCGATTCCCCCCCCGGCGGGGGTGGGGGGGTGGGGCGCAGCCAGGGGATCTTCCTGTCCCCCTCCTGCTCACTTTTTCGTGACTCCTGTAGAGAAAGATGTTCTTTTAGTTTGTTAATGGCCTGCTTTCTGGAAGCACTGAAGACGCTGCCCAGGTCTGGGCAGGGGCGTGTTTGTGGGGACCCTCTCAGGTCAGTGTGGGTGTCTAGGACAAGCTCACAGAGCCCTCCTCAGGAGGGGCGCCTGTCCTCGGGACACAGAGGCCTGGGAGCAAGGTGCTTGCAGAAAGTGTTCCTCAGAGCCACCCTGAGCCTGTCAAGTTCCGGGAGGCTCTTAGCCTGCAAGAGTCGTGAGGTTGGAAGCTGGAGCCACACCCTCACGGAAGCTCCCTGCCGGTGAGCTCCTTGCCTGTTCCCTCCAGATCCCCACTGAGGTCTGTGTCAGGCCACACGGCTGCCCCTCTCCCTCAAAGCGCTTAGCTGAGGCTTACGGCTGGACCCGTTGGGGCCCGCAGTTTTGGGGCCACGGGCCTCGGTGGGGTGCACCTCGACGCAGCCCCCGTGGAGCTCCCGCCGGGCTGGGGGGATGGTCTCAGTCCCCCATGGTGCTCTGCAGGCTCCGGGGCCCCCACCCACTTCTGTTTTCCCCGGCCGCCGATGCCCGGGCCGTAGCGCCCACTGTGGCACAGATGCTGCCCAGCTGGGGGCAGAGGGCTTTTACTTGGCGGTGGGTGTTTTAGGAAGGTGCCATCCTGTGAGCAGCACACCAGGCCCGCCCCGTGGAGAGGGCTGGTGGCTGAGAAGGGGGGCCAGCCAGGGGAGCCTCTGCTTGGTCCTCCCCCCACCCAGAAGCGAGACCCCGCGCTCCCCAGTCCACCAGTGCCCAGAGAGAGAAGGAGGGAGCTAAATCATGGAATATTTTCACAGACGCGTGCGGATGCGGTGGGATATAAAACGAAGAAGGTGTGTTTTTTCAGACTGTTTGATGTTAAAGGTTGCAATCAACTTTGCAGAGGCAGGGAAGTCGGGGAAAAGGCACAGCGGAGACGCAGTAAATTTTGTTCAGAACAGGAAAAAGAGCAGCGCGATGGGAAAGCCGATAATGGGAGAGAAAGAAAGTCTATTTCCTGTTCAGTACTATCAGCCTCGGAGCAGAGCTGGAGAAAACGGAATCTAGAAGCAGGACAGTCGTGATAAGAGCACCAGGCAGCCGGGGGCAGGCTTCACGCCGGAGCCCGAAGGACGTGCACGGACGAGTGGTGACGGACGGGAAGTACCAGGAAGGGAGCGGGTCGGGAAGCCACGGCGGGGCAGAGGGTGACATAAGTGCACGGGGGCGGGCACAGGAGGAACCTTCTGAGAGCAGGTGGGGAAGGGGCCCTAGTGCGAGAGCAAACACAGACGAGGCAAGGCTGGGCGCAAAAGACAGGTCGGGGTGGGGGGCGGAGAAGCCCTCGAAGACTTTGGGGGTCTTCCGCTGCGACGGTGTCCAGAGCGGAGAGCGAGGGATTCGAAGCCAGCTCGCTGCCTGCTTCTGTCCGGGATTACACGGATGACAGAGCTCCCCATCCGTGACGGCGCACCTCCCCCAGGGACGCACCAGACCCAGGCCCTCCGGGCTCAGACCTCTGCCCCGTCCACTCCAGACCCGCATTTCCCACGGAGGTCCCCGCTGTGAGTGTGTGCCCGGCCCGGGGCGTGCTGCTGACCTGGCGGACGAGGGGTCGCTCAGGTCGGGTTTGCCGAGACACAGCTTGCAGCCCACCACTGTCCCTGACACTGGTTGGGGGGGGGAGCCCACGTGGCAGGGAGCTACGGGTGGCCCCTGGGACTGCGGGTGGCCTCCGGGGCCTCCAGCCCCAGCCAGCAAGGGGCCGGGCCCCTCAGTCTTGCAGCAGGGAAACGAACGCCGCCAGCCCGAGGGACCTGGAGGGGTCCTTCTGCAGGTCAGGCCTCAGGATGAGACCCCAGCCCAGAGGCACCAAGACTGCAGCTTTGTGAGTTGGGCACCCAGCTGAGCCCTGCCCAGACTCCCAACCCACGGAACCCGGGTCCCAATGTGGCACATTTAAGCCACTGCCTGTGTAGTAATTTGTTACACAGCCACAGAAAACTAAGGCAGGCATCTCAAGGCCACACTGTGTAGATCTCAATACAGGACATCCCCCTGAAGGACCCGGCTTTCCTTAAATACCCATCACACCTCGGTCATTCTTGGATTTACATAAGCACTTCTGACATGCAGGAAACAAGCAAGAGCGTCTGCTGACTGCCATGAGGCCACGAGCTCCGAGAGCGACCTCCACTTGTGACGAAGGAGGGCCATGCTCCCCAGGTGTGAGCTTTTAGACTTCCGTTTCAGCTGACTTCTGCCCAACCGCCCCCGCCCCAAGTCCTGACGGACTCACACTGAGCCTTTTTCTCTCTGGAGCCAAAGATCTGGCCTTGGTCACCCGCCTTCATCGTCATCTTCTCCCGTGGGCCTTCCCACCGCGACCCCACCTCCTCTCGAGGACGTGTGGGCCTCTCCCTTCACGGCTCACGCCATTGTTGATTCTGAATAACACGCGGGACTGGTCCACAGTTTGAAGAGTGAGCCAGTTCCGTTCACTTCTTCTTCAATGCAGCAAACTCTTACTTCCGATGGGCTCTGGTCAGGAACCGGGGTTGATCCAGGACAGAAGATGAACACGATGTGGCTCTGGCCTCCAGGGCTGAGTCAGCTGGGGAGGGGTGCGGCCCTCCATTCGCCTCCCTCCACTCGCCTCCCTCCAGCCTCCGTGACGCCCGCGTCACCCGGCTCCCTGCTATGTGGCACACCGAATGCTCTTTCGTTTTTGGCTTCTCCTTTGAGCAACCTTAATGGTGTCCTCAAACCGCGTTGCCAACCCCAATGTCCTAGTCCACTCTGTCTGGGACCAGGGCCTGAGGCAAATTATAACCCACCTTAGCATCTTTGTTTTATAAGGCAGCTCTCAGGGCGCCTGGGTGGCTCAGTCGGTTAAGCGTCTGACTTCGGCTCAGGCCATGATCTCACGGCTGTGGGTTCGAGCCCCTCGTCGGGCTCTGTGCTGACAGCTCAGAGCCTGGAGCCTGCTTCCGATTCTGTGTCTCCCTCTCTCTCTCTGCCCTTCCCCTGCTCACACTCTGTCTGTCTCTCACACAAATAAATAAACATTAAGAAAAAAAAATTTATAAGGCAGCTCTCACCTTCCCAGGGGGAGTCCCACAGGACAACAACAGAACGTATAGTGGAACAGCGGACACGTGGGGAGCTGCCCTCCCAGCCAGAAGGCCGGCGCTCTGGGTGTGTGGTCCCGGGGGACATTGGGTGGAGCCAACAGCAGGCACAGAATCGCTCAGAGAAAGGTCGACTGGGAAGCACACCCACTGCCTAAATGTGGTGAGAACCAAGAGCTCCTCAAGGGCAGGGAACACTCGTAGGCGCTTTGTGGGGGGCGAGGCCACAGGAGCAGAGACGACCCCAGTGGCAGGGCCTCCTGCCCGGGGCAGACACCCTGCCGTTCCACTGTCCTGGCCTGTCCCCGCCCGGGTCCAGACTGCTGAAGCACCAGGCGCAGAGAAACCGCTCGGGGTCTCCGCCTTGGCAGGTGGCCGGTGGTTGAGGGTGAGCACGGTCGTTGCACGGTCGTTCCTATCAGCCCTCGGGCCACAACAGTGGATGGGGCCCGGAGCACTCGGCATTATGGGTAATTGGGAAGGTGACCTGGAAGTATCAGGGGAAGAAGGTGATCCAGGGTGAGGGCCTGGTTTCATGGCTTCTGTGGGCCAGGGCGTCTGGTGGGGCGGCAGGGGACACGTGGGTAGTGGGGAAGCTTGGACCAGTCTGGCCACAGCCACGCAGGAGGTTGGAGGGGAAGCTCAGGCTAGTGCAGTGGCCCAAGGTGGGTCTGGGTAGGAAGACATCACTGGCCAGGGGACATGAGCCAGGGTCTCCCTGGTTGGCCTGTCATGATGTGGTGGTCATCCTGGCACAGGGCCTGGAGACCATGCTGGGTCAGCTTCGCATGGGGCCTTGGAGCCCATGTTGGGTCACCTTGCACACTGGGTCACCTCGCATGGGGCCTGGGGACCATGCTGGGTCAGCTTCGCACGGGGTCTGGGGACCATGTTGGGTCACCTTGCATACAGGGTCACCTCCCACAGGGCCTGGGGACCATGTTGGGTCACCTCACATGGGGCCTGGGGATCATGCTGGGTCAGCTTCGCACAGAGCCTGGGGACCACGCTGGGTC